CTGAGCTGTAGCTTCAGTGCTGTCCTCTGAAGTAAATTCTTCTGGGGGAAGGGGCAGCTGTCCACGTAGTTGGGATTGGCATTGACCCCTCAGACCTCTCCACTGGTTCCCTACTCCATGCCAGTATGTTCTATTCACATCTTGGAGGCACCAGGTTGAAGTCTGGTCCCTCTTTCCCTGTGGAGATATAAACAATACCCTCCCCTTGGATGGGTTAGTGCCCTGTTCCCCCACTACCCATTTCTTTTATTTTTTTCCTCCCACCTCCCTCCTTTTTAGTTGGCTGCCATATGTATCCCTGGATTTGGTCTGGCCCCTCCCATACTACCTGGACCTCACCCAAGGAATGTTTGTATACAGTAGCTTTGTCCCTACCCCCTACCCCCACCTTTTTTTAAGCTTATCTCAGCCGACTCATGTTGTACTTGTCCTTTGTGCTTGGTTTACTTCGCTTAGCATAATTTCCTCCAGTTCTTCCCATGTGGCGATGTGCTTCATGCATTCATCACTGCTTTTTAGGGATGCTTCGTACTCCATTGTATGTATGTACCACAGTTTTTTAATCCATTGTATGTTGATGGGAATTTGAGTTGTTGTTGAACTGTGCTGTGATGAACATTGGCCGTGGTTTGTTTCTTGCCTCTTCTGGGTATATGCTCAGTATGGGGGTCATATGGTAGTTCAATTTCCATCTGTTCGAGATATCGCCAAATCGATTTCCTTAGTGGCTGTACTTATCTACTGGTCCACCAGCAGTGGATGAGAGTTCCTATCTCTCCACAGCCCCTCCAACACTTGTTGCTTTATGACTTCTTGAATTGGGCTATCTTTAAGGGTGTTAGTTGGTGTTTTAATATGTATTTCTCTTATGGATAATGATTGTGAACATTTCCTCATATGTTTATTGGCCGTTCGGATTTCTGTCCTTGTGAAACTTCTGTTCAGGTCCTTTGCCCACCTCCTCAGTAGGCAATTAGTTTTTTTCTTTTTAGAACCTAGCAGAGGATTGTAGATTTTAGTAATAAGGCTGATGTGTCATTGCTAAAGATGTTTTCCCGGCCCATGGGCTCTCTTATTACTCTCGTTGAATTCTTTCGATGTATACAGGTGTTTTGTCCTCAGTATATCTCACTTGTCAATTTGTGACTTATCTGTATTTGTGTCCTTCCCTATTTCTGATAGCCTATGTATTCCCTGTGCCAAAGTTCTCAGGTTTGTCCTAATTCCCTCATTGATGGTCCTAATCGTTTGGGGTTTACCTTGAGGTCTGTGATCCATCTTGAGTTTATTCTTGTGCATGGAGTGAGATAAGGGAGTTGCTTCATTTTTTTCCCCAGGTAGATATC